AAATGCAGGTTGGAATCTGCATTATGTATTTGAGAAGTTTTATTTGTACTAATTTTGTTGGGAGTATTTCATGTCTCCATCCCGTAAAGGTGGCTACAGCTGCTACTCTGACTCCCAAGTTGCATCAGGCTCAGAGGAAGAGATAATACAATAAGTAGCTTCTGACCATAACCTGAGATAACTTCTTGCATGCAGTGCAGTGGCTCGGGTGGGAGATCCTGATGCATAGCTCTCATTTAAGTTTCCTTGCTTTTCCGTTTCCAAGATGAAGAATTTAAGTGTTGACAGTTTCAAGGCATTAGCCAGTGTAACTTCGAGATAAGTATTTTGATGAGATGAACCTTTTTGCTAATGGCTTTCTCTTTTTTCTTAAATATATATTTATGTGAAGCTACTTAAAGGTTGTGGGTGTGGATAAAAGCCAGAGTGAGATGCGAGGGAATTGGGGAGAAGATAGATGTGCTGTGCAACACAGCCACGTGCCCTGACAGTTATTACTGCTGTGTGTGCTGGGTGTCTAGACATGCAAAACTAGCCAGGCAGTTCTCATTTTACTCTGGATAAAATTGGGAGGCCCTACGTTTAACCCATGACTGGGATCTAGCTCTTCTGGTAACTCCAAGACACGTGTTTGGTGGTTTTGGTCTTTTTCATCAGCTTTACTGAACCTTGTGCTATTCCTGCTGTTTTGTAGTATCTTTGTAAGACTTCTCTGTGCCTTTCCTTCTGTCAGTTTCATGAGTTCTTTCCCCTACATATAAAGTAGTTGTCTGCCTTTCAGTCCAGTTCAGTCCCAGCTAATCACTGATGGTAAGTTCACTTGCATGTCTATAACGAGTTCCGGCACATGAATTTGAAGTGAGTCATCAGAAGGCCCCTTGGAAGTGCCATCTTGTTAAATCTGTCATAGCCTGTTTTGTGTGGATTGGAACAAAGCTTGGGCTCAGAGATGAAAAATAATAAATCCCTGTCCTGTCTTCTGGCATATAGCAAGAGGTTGGCCCACCAAACCAACCCCCAACAGGAAGCTACTGTTCTTCCTCTTAGACAATAATTTTGATCCTGCTCTCCTAAAACGCAAGAAGAGAAATGGATCATGCTGTGATCACGGGAGACCAAGACCCAAATAGAAGGTGAACTCAAAACCCTCACAAAGAAAATGTTTGTCTCTAATTGTTTTCTGTTTCCATAATGCTTAGTATGATAAAACTAGCTTCTCTTTCTCCTTTATTTTTCAATCATGATTAGACTTTAATGTTGTTAAAGCTTGTAAGTGAGTTTGAGCTACTGTCTCGTTGAAGAGAAGATGGAGCTGAAATTGTCAGTGAGGCATTGGACAGGGTTTTTTAATGTGTCTGTCATTATATGTTAACCTCTGAACTGGGACACGACTTCTGTTTTATGGCTGACAACAATTTAAAGGTATACATCTTGACATCGTGGATAAAGGAAGAAGGGGGAGTAGAGAAAAAAATGAATTAATGATGTTAGCAAATATTAGTCCCTGTATTTCCATTTTGTTCAGAAAGTGGTTGTCAGGCTTTGAGGCTGTCTGGAGCAGCATTGTCAGTGACAGCCACTCGAGATGCGATTGTACCTTGAATCGAGCCGGTCTTTTATTGACAAATACAGTGCACTGAGGCAGGGATGAGGATGCTCTGCTGTCTGTTCCAGGAGGAGTGTGGCTTTTCTCCTGGCATTCCTGGTGACATTTGAGAAAGATAGTTCTGGGCTTAGTTGAGTTCCCTGCACCAGTCTGTGAGCGCATCGGGAGTCAGGGGAGTTGAAAATGTCTCTTAATGAGTACGTATGCTGCATACTGAAGCACATACTTGCCCGTGATTTATGGTAGCTTTGGTCAACCAGATCCACCTACCAAAGTTAACTGTCAAGAGTAATAGTGACTTTGAGATCAGCCTTAATTGTACACAAGCAACAAAGAATCAATGGGCAAGAGTTAGGGGAAGACACAAGAAATTCCAATGCCTCCTAAGGCATGTCTTATACTTCTTTACCATCTCTTCCTGCATCTCTTATGTGCCACTGCCTGTGCTTTGGCACCAGAATACAATCCTCCAAGGTTTCTTTCCATGCTGTCACAAACTCCCCTTTATTCCCACAGTTTTTAACTGGCAGTTTGAAGGCAAGCCCCTCGTGCTCATGGAGCCCACAGTAATTTTGCCTTCTCCACAGCATCTCCCTTGCATGGTCCTGACTGGAGATAATATTGCTGCCATCTCTCTCGAATTCAGGTTGCAAATTATGGAAGCCTGGGATCATGTTATTTCTTAACTATCACTAGTTATATGTGTATCTGTAGTGCTTTTGGACAGTACTGCCAGCAGTGAAAGAAATAGACCTGGCTTAATCGAGAGCCACATAGTTAATTATTACTTTCTTTTTTTAAAGGAGGAGAGAGATTTTGTAGTGTCAGTTTTTAATTTCATTGTGGTTTGCAACCTAATGTGACATCAAACTCACTGGTCATTATCTGTGTATATGTAGTGTTTCCTTTGTCTTTCCAGCCCTAAAAGCCTCTTTCTGCTGTAGAAATGTCAAGAGATTTGAGAAGGAAAGTGTGTCTGCGTGTTACACATCTCATCAGCTAGTGTGAGCAACAAATAAAAACACTGGTTCCTGTTAGTGCAATAAGCTGTGACGTGGTTTGGAAGGAGCAACTGCTTTGTCCCACCTCTTTGATTACCCAGTTAGGTACGTCGTGCTCAGATATTGCTTGCGAGTCCCTGGCAGGCTGGGTAGTGCAGATATTGGAAACGGGCAGATGAGCTCATGGTATAGGCAAGTTGTCAAGGGCAGCTGGAAAGAAACCAGTTTATATCTGCGTTGAGGCAGAGTTAATGGTTTTTGGGAGGAAGCGTTCCTCGTAGCCTGGACAGATTCCCCTTGGGAAGGCTGGTGGTGATGAATGGTGGAGCCACAGCTCTGTCTTTCATGGCTTTGCAGAGCAGAGGCACACATTAAATGCTGAGAGGATAGCTGAGACTTTTCCTGTACATTTTTCATAAACTTGTTCTACATATTGAGGGCTGTGATGAAATAAGCTTGGTTCAACATTCATAAATTGAATATTGAGTTACCTATTTCTGTGTGAAAGAGATGAGATAAAAGCTAGTTGGACAAAGTAACCTGTATATGGATTAAAAGCCAGAAAAGTTTTTGCCTGAGCATTTTTGGGAAAGCCTTTATTGCTAAGTTTCCCGATGACCTTGTGCACTCAATCAACATGATTAATCTTTGGTAGAAATGCATCGGTTGTGCAGTGAAGGTGAACTTAATCCAAGAAACCTTTTTTACAATTTCTGCCTCTAGAAAGATGAAACTTATTTTCTCAAGTGTTGTTTTTGACTTTAAAAAAAAAAAAAGCAACAACCAAAAACTGTAGTGGGAAGAGGTGAAAGAATATAGATTAAAAAATTTTTGTAGTTTCTGAAACTGGTTGAATGATGACCGTCCCTCAGTATCAAAGAAGATAGACTAGTTGTGAGTATAGCTTCATTTTACAGAAATAACTCTTGCATGTACTAGCAGGTGATCTGAAATTAATTTTCTTTATAAGTGGTGTGGAAATAATTAATGGACAGTAAGGTTCTCTGATAAAAAAAATTTTTAAGAGGGGCATTGCACTGTAAAGACTCTGAAGCCCTTCCCCTTCAGGAAAGGAGAACTTCATGTCACCTTTTACTGTAAATAAAAGAAAGCCTGCTTGCCGTAGAATAGTGTCAAAACTAATTTCCTTTCCATTTTTTCTTATAAACACATTTGTCTGATACCTGCAAACCCAAATATTACAACTTTGGACTGGTACAGGAGAGCTGAAAGGTGGAACTGGTTGGCTCAAATTGTGCAGAATGTAAAAGCAAATGTATTATGGGAAAACAGTAAATTGATTTAAAACAAAAGCAGCCAAGGGAGCAGGAAGAAGAACAAATGTAAGCAGGTTTTATTGAAAAAAAAATAAAAAATCAACATCTTTCTAGGTAGAATTCTGATGAGGCAGCAATGCTTTTTGGTGTATTCAGCAATGTATTGCAGCTACTGCGAGACTGCAAGCGGTTGGGGCAGCTTTCCCTTTGCTTCTGATTTTATTCACCTTGGGTGTGATAATTTCTCATCACAGAAAACCACAGAACTGTCCACTGACAGCAGTGCGTTGCGATTAATGGGCTGGTTTTAGAAGGAATTACTGCTGCAAATTGCAAACCAGTTTGGACTGGTTACCTGAAGACCTAGATACCAAGATGCTTTAGAAGAGTTAGGGTTTCTGGTGCCCTGTACCCCCCTAACAGGGTCAGGCTTTCAGAGAGCAGGCACTTACCCTTTGCTAAAAGTCTGGCATCAGCGTAAAGTTAGCCAGTTGAAGATCCCAAGCTGGAGAATGTGGGGTTTTTTTGGTTTCTTTTTTTTTTTTTTTTTTTTTTTTTTTTTTTTTTTTGAAAAGGTAGGCCTGAGGCTCTGTATCGATCAATCATTATTCTAATTGTTCATTTCTATTATGGTGGGAAACATGCAGAATCCTAGAGTTCCTCGGAGTAAATCATTTGGAAAGGCTGCCCATTATAAAATTTAATTTTAAATCTATATTAAATAGATTTATAAAGGCAAGCTTTGCAATCTAGTAACATAACATTATGCTACCTCACAGAGGCTCAGCTTTTGGGTCTTAAGGGGCCATGGCTGGGGGTGATGTGGAGGCAACACTTGGGCTTGTTGTGAGCGGGATGGTGAGGACGGGTCACCCTAAAGGTAGGCTTGGCTTCTGGGCCACCTTCAGAGGAGCATTGATCCGGTTTGAGAGATCCACCCAGCTGGTCTGTATGGAGTAGTGTCATGGGGTACCATCTGCCATGAAGATGAAGCTTCCAGATGGCTGATCCCATCTCTTGGGCAGGGGAAGAGGTGGGAGATGGTGGAGGGGGGTGGTACAGGCTGGAATGGGATGGGAGCGAGGATAACTGGACCAATCTTCCTTTTTCTTTCAGGTGACAGAGAAGAGGGGAAAGGAAAGCAAAACTGCATTTGGAGGCCCTGTTGTCAGCTCATTATATCAAGAAGAAACAATCAGGTGATTATCTGTGCTGAACTTCAGTTAAAACAGTATTTTTCTAATGTCATTTTGTTAAGCTTCTTTTTTTTTTAATATTGCACAAGTGTGGTGGCAACTACAACAGGATAATAAATGACAGGAAAGAACTTTTCAGGTCCATAATCATTTAAATCAATAACTGCCTGTATCATTGCCAGGTAGTAACCTTTCCCTAGCGCAAAATGTGGGGGAAGGGCAAAGCTTCCCATTTTTCAGTTCTATGGCTAAAAAAAGGTAATAGGGGATATTTTTAATAGAAAGCTATTCAGACACTACCTTTCTCAAATAGTTATTTCTTTACCAATACGCTCATTAAGGATTGTTCAGAGAAGGTTTTAGTGTTGGACAATGTTTGCTTTCAGGGAGAGTTTGTACCTTATATCAAATTTAATTTTTTCTAGCTTCTGCAGCTCACATGGCAGAAATGCATTTACTGAACTAGAATGGCTGCTATTTAAAAACTGTCAAGGTGCAAGTAGTAAGTGACATTAGCTACTGAATAAGGACAGCTGGGTTTTCTTGTTTGGTTGGTTTTTACTGTTCCAGACTGCTAATCATGGGTGTAATGTTAATTCCAATACCTAAATGATTGTCTGGAGGATCTTTCAGAATGCAGCATCGTATTTTTAGTAGAGATGAACAAGTCAGGGAAGACTAAATTCTTGAACAGTGTTTGCTGTCATGTTGCAGTCACCCATTTATGTGTATGTGATCCCATTTGTTTTATTGAATGTCTTGCATCGTTTTAGTCCCAGGAAATTAAAAGATAAACACTGATTTCTTTGCACACAGCCTCCCAAGCTTGCTGGGAACTCTCCTGAAGTGTTAAAACTCCAACATAGCATTTCTCTGACTTGTTGTCACAAACTAATGAAAAATAAATCTTAAGCAGGTGGCTCCAAACCCTTTGCAAGGAACCCTGGTACAAATTGATATGGCTGCATTCTGAGTAAGCAAATACGGTGGCAGCTTTGTGCTCGGCATTAGTGAGGGCATCTCCCTTGGTGTTGCAATCTTCTTTATAGTGAGATGGAACAGTTGGCCAGGAGTAGCCTTCTCCACCTCTTGTAGAGAGCCAACACGTCTTTAACTTACGCCTGGACCTTGACCAGAGGTGGGTCGGGTATGACCTTGGTTTAACACATTGTTTGAGGAATAGCACTTCTGCTAGCCCCAGGCTCCTTTTCTTCCCTGCTCTGTCAATGTAGGTCTCAGCCAATGTCCTTCATGTCATAGTTCCACCTTGTGGTTTAAATCCTGTTCAAGCTGTTCTTTTAGGAGTGGAACAACTCAGTGCTGCCCAGTGTTGGGTGTGAAGTATGAGCTATGCTTAGTCCTTCAGTGCTTTCAGAGGCTTGGCTATCCCAAGTACTGCCTGTGCCCCTTCTTGGATATGAAATACAGCGCAATATACAAGAAAACAGTTTTCCCTGGTTGGCTTGACTAGTCTACATGTTCTTGTCATATTTTTGGTTTTTTACTGGCGTGAGAATGACTTGTGCAGGACTTGAAGCTCCGAATACAGCTCTGAATATGTTTTTTCCAAACATACCATGAGGAACACATGTGCTCTATGTTTAGTATAGCATAGCTATACTAGCTATAGGCAGCTGTAGCCTTTGACACACCTGGAATAGAGTGATTTTGATGAAAGTGAGTTAAATGAAGTTTCCTGACTCTGCTGGCAGAACGGAAACTCATGTGGTCCATTAGCACAGCTTGGCTCACAGGTGTCAGCATCTTCAGTTGCACGATAGAAGTGTCCTCATCATTGTTTCCCTCACATGCAGGTTGTACAGCTTGAGATCTCTCAGTTGCCCATGTATTATGGCTTTTGTCTACTGTTCATTCTCGTACTGCAACAGGGAATAAATGTGTGCAAGTAAAGGCACATCTCTAATGGTGATAATTATAATAGGAAAAGCCCTAAACAGCAAAATTGCACTGGTACAAAATCTGCAAGCAGGTGAGCCAAAGAAGGATGGCCCCAGACATTGAATTTGGCATCCAAGTTTATTTAAAGCACAGAGCACCTCAGAAGGGTGACTTCTCTGAGGCTGTGAGAGGTTACTTAAAAGACCGTAAGATTGGCATTCAGTAATACTTCAGTGCATTTCTAAATAGAATGTAGTCTTAAAAAAAAAATAAGGCATTTTCTGTAAAGGAAGAAAATGAAAATGATTAAGGGGAAAGAATACGTTTATGCTGGCTCAAGCTATTAAGTTAACACTTTGATAGTTATTGGGAAGTCCCATGCTGAAAGTTCAGTGTGTATGCATATACTACTTTGAAACCCAAGATCTGAGAAAAGAAACTTTGATGCAGACTATTTTGCTGACGCAGTTGTCTATGGTGGGCCTTACTGAAGCTTTACAACAAGCTTGCAAAAATTGATGTATAAATCAAGACACTATATTCTCTGTTTCCCAGGGCTGTTGATATGATCCCGTAACTAGAAAATATTTATCCTATTGAGGAAGTCCAGAATAAAATAAATAAATAAAAATCTTTTTGTGTGTGTACTAAAAACTAAAACTTGAGTCCTCATCAGCCCTGGGTTCTGACAGACTGCTGAAAGCAATTTCTCAGCAGGCATTGCTCTGCCAAACACAGCCTACTGTATGCCCTTTAGGATTCCGCTGATGCAAAGGCAGGAGAAGGCTGTCTAATTTATCTGGAGACCAGCACCTTCACGACCTCACTGTGCACCAGGAGACAGACAAGAATGCAAGTGCAGAGTTTTGAAGGTTTGCCTAAGCAGGTTCACTTATTTTATTCTTACGAGAAGGTTTTGAGCAGTTTAACAAATTATTAACCTCCTCCAAGCTGCTGCTGTGTAATAGGAAGATGAGAGGTCTTGTTTTAAACAGTGTAAACCACTAGCTTACCATCAGCAGTAAATTACCAAGAGAAGCAGCAATGTCATTGTTTTCAAACTGAGTGTCTAAAATTATGTGTAAATAATGCTTATAGTCCTTTTATGGAATGAAATGCTTGGGGTTTAATGTGCAAATCTGTAAATGTTGGACAAGTGGAGTAACTATACCCTACCCTAAAGTCAGGTGGATCAGAAGTAGGAGGAACTGGGATGGTGCCAGGGCTGATTTTGCCTTATCACTAATTATCTCAAATGTTTCTGCTTTGAGAACAAGATAGAAAAATGGTCAGTCTGGCTCGCAGAAGTACATTGCACTGATTCCAAATAAATTCAAGAGCATCCATAGAAACAGGTTATACCGATCTAATTAAATCAATTTAGAAAGAGATCCGGTTAAATCAGTGCAATTTGTGTGTTCATAGATCAATCCTCAAACCAGGATAAGGTCTCTTGAGCTAATGAGGCATAGCAGTTATTTACTTTGGGGTGCTGGGCACTGGTCATCAATTAGGAGTCATTAATAAACCCTGGCAATAAAGAGCTCAAGTACCCCCAGTGACTAATGGGGAGCAGTTGCAGAATGTATTAGCATAGTGCTCTGCCTCTGTGTTTCTCTGCAAATCACTTATCTCACTGTGGGCATTACAGAAAAATAATGCGTGCTGGTGACTGATGATGGGACTTGGAGGTTCCTCTAGAAGGAAGGATTTAGAAATTATCTGTGATTTCAGGCTGGGGATAGCGGTGGTGGTTTTTTTTACTGCTGGATAAAGCTATATGTCTGTTTTCTGATCTTATTACCAGAACAAAAGCAGTAGTAGTTGAGCTCTTTCATGATCAAATAGCTATAATTACAGTTTCACAAACCTGGGAAATGAGCAGCGAGACGAGGTTGACTGATGTGTCACCAATATAAATCTAATCTGAGACACAAGCCGAGGGAGATGCCAAAAATACCGTAGCATTGGAAATTCAACTTTAAAGCGGGGATGAGGGGGCAGGCAGTTTACAAGTGTTTCCAGGAAACGAAAGCATTGGCTTGGCAGATGGAGAAGGCAAAATAATGTTGCCAAACATCCGTGTCCCTTTCCCCTTCCACTGGAGGATCCCTCCTGCACTCTTACCATGGGTTGCTTCCATGGGGCCTTGGTGTGGAAATTCAACTTTAAAGCGGGGATGAGGGGGCAGGCAGTTTACAAGTGTTTCCAGGAAACGAAAGCATTGGCTTGGCAGATGGAGAAGGCAAAATAATGTTGCCAAACATCCGTGTCCCTTTCCCCTTCCACTGGAGGATCCCTCTTGTACTCTTCCATGGGCTGCTTCCATGGGGCCTTGGCATGCCAGGATGGCACGGAGGGCTCCCTGAGCTAAGCTTTACACTTCTGCCATCCCAAGGGATGCTGAAGAAGCCCTTCTCTCATAGAAACTTCCACTCTTTTCCATAATGCTTGGGGGTGACCCCGGTTGCGAGCGGGGTTTCCTTTCGCATCGGGGTGCGGAGCGGGCACCCCTGGTATTTGGGAGCCCGCCTGATGCTGTGTAATCTATCAGAATTGTATTAATCCCACTAACGCAGCCGCCATCTGGCCCCGCTGCCGGGCCGGCTCGCGCGAGCCCCCGTGATGGATGGCCTCGGGAATTGATTAGTTGTTGTGTGAGACAAATGAACTGTTTTGGCAGAAAATACCAGAGGTCGCTGCGTGTGGTCAGGCACAAAGGCTGCTGAATTTTAAAGAGCTGCTTCCAGCATCCATTGCAAGGATGCCGTTTTGGAGCAGCCACAGCTTTTTCTATTTTTTTTTTTTTTTGAGACGATCCCGGCGCTCCAGAGCATGTTTTTTTTTTTTTTTTTTTTTTTTGAGACGAGCCTGTCTCTCCAGAGCACGATTTGGGTTTTGTGTTCTCCCTCCAGCCCTGCTTTCCACAGCACCAGGGCTGGAAAAGGAAGGCAAAGCTGCAAAGACTGGGAGGCCAGCATCCTTGCCGTGTTGGGAATTAGGGGTATTGTGCTGGGATGGGGTGGCTGTGCCACAGATGTCTGTCATCGGCACAAACGCCGGGCTGTGCGCTCCCTGCGGAAGAGCTTTCCCGGTTGTGCGGA